TCTTACAAATTACTATGTTCATATTTCCTATCAATAAGTTTTCTAGTTAGACCCCTTGTTATATTCCAATTATGTTCCAGTGGTACTCTGTCACTTTACTTAACTGTGATTTAGAGCCCTGTGTTTCCAAAGACTACCAGCAGCTGAAATTGCCACCCATTCCAGAGCATGAGACATCCTCCCCGCCCTCTGTAATTACAATGCAATTAGACAATACAAGTGATACAGCACAAAAAAAATACCGCCTCTGAAAGGGGCTGGTCCCACATCCCTTCCTCACATCACTTTGTTTTGATATTCGTAGAACTCCCTGGGAAGATGACCTTACACTCAGTTTAGTGAAAATTAATTACAAATAAAGTGAATGAGTTCTGGTTAGCAAAAATTTGCTGAGGAGGAGCAACAAAACAGATGGGGTAGTACTGTGTTACTGGGAGCACACAGAAAAAAAAAGTACAGATGAAGTAGCAGCAGAAAGATGCAAAACAGATCTGGGGAAGGAGTGGTAGCATTTTTAAGTCTGCTTTCTTAGAGATGTTTTTATTCTTGGAAGCACTAATAAGAAACATGTAGGATCCCTCTGTGTCTGTTACTCACATCCATGCTTATCTGACACATCAATATGGCACTTGACAACCATGTGACCTGTAACTTTTGCCAAAAAATTCCATAACAATGAAGTAATTTTAAGCTGGAAATATACCACTGGCTTAGGATTTTTTTTTATTTTTTACTTTTTCAAACAGTCCTAATAGAATACTAACAGGCAACTATGAAAACTAAGCAACAGTTGAAAAAGGTCACACACATTCAGACTCTAAATCAATCTATATGGATACTCATCTTCAGCTTTTTAAATGATTTTGCTATACCTAGAGCAACTTGCAGTTTCATACAGTGTACAACATACCTAAAGAATTATTTTGCTGTCCCTCTGCTGCAGAATTTAGTGAGAAAGCAGGCTTAGAAATATTTTCAGTAAGCAATGGATAGTTTATCCAGCCCCTAGAATTATATAATAAATTAAAAAGTCCTATTCAGAAAGAATTGTCTCAGCTTAAGAAAATTTCCACAGTAAATTAATTTATGCAGTTTTGTATTTATAATTATTTACAGAAACAATTTAAGTTATTTCAGAGGCATACAAGGGCATGCAGTAAATAAGACTTCCAGATCTCCTGAGTTGAGCTACCTCTGGTTGTACACTCATCCTCTAAATTTAAAAGGCCCCTTCCAATTTTTTATTACTTATTTCTGTACTTCTGTTATAAATCCACCCTTCTGTTACAAATCCACCCTCTACTGAAATTCTTCCATAATTTCTAAGACCAAAAGGTCCAGTATTTTTTTTAATTACATTTTTTTCTATTTGTCTAACTGCTGATATCTTAATATCATTAAAGGCAATGCCATCAATACAGACAAATATGTGTACAATTTGACCAATACGGGACACAGGATTACCTCTGACATGAATATACCCTTCACTAAACAAATAAGAAAACTGCTTCACAGTAAGACATTGGGAATGAAATAACATACAAATTGAGGTATATGGGAATGGTCTAGTTAGAGTGTGCCTGACTGGAACTCCTGTGTGATGTACTATACTCACTGCAGGAGAGACTGAGACTCGTCAGGTGCATATTTCTCTTGAGGTATCTGGACAACAACAACAGAAAAGTGTTTTAGCAACTTAGTAAACAAAGTTTACTTCATTATTAACTTTCTCAGCATTGCTATATGCTTATCTTCTTCCTTCTGTAATTGAATTTTTTGATCAGGTCTTTACATACCTTACTAATACAATAAAAAAGCCACTTCTCTTTAATCTTTTTTTTTTTTTTGGGTTATTTAAAGAAATGTTAAAACACAAATCAAGATTATAAATGAAATGATCATGCAGGAGGAAAACACACCTATGCAATTACAAGATGACTACTTTGAACTTTGGCTGTTTCATACATCAGAAGATTAAACTACAAGATATTTATATTTGAACTCCCAATTTTAACCTTTGTTTTTTGGAACAATTCCTTGTTCTAATTAAACAAGCTGTTTCAGATATTGTGGAGTTTATTATTCAGCTCTGAATATCCCTGGAAAAGGAAGAATTAAGGAACTTCTCAGATGACAAGACCTGCACATCAACAAGCTCTAAATGGCACAAGAAGTCAGGGCCACTGCACAAAAACACAGGAAAGATCATGTAGATAAGAAAAAAGCTAAAGTCAGAGCAGGGGGCAAATTCAAGTTCTTCAGTAAAAGGATCTTGGATCCTTTCTGTGCCTCTGACTGCACTCTGAGGAGAGAAAAATCTCAAGTTTTGAAAATGAAGGTGTTATGCAAAGTCCAAGGAAACTTAGGAAAGATGAAGACAAGCAAATGAACTGGAGAAGAGTTCTAGATGAGGTTAAGATTGAGTATTACTGGCTGCAATTTCAAGCAAATCATTGGCATGTAGTTGAGAACATTCACAGGACTATGAAAACTCTGGGAAACAACATCTTTGTGTGGACACAAAACGATGACTTACTCAGCCTGCACTAGGTACTAGTTACCCAATAATCACAACCTTTTTAGCAAAGAGCTGAAAAGTAACAGGTTGTAATCACCCAGCAGGAATGACTACTGAAAGGTTCCAAAGAACAGAACAGATCTTTTAGAAACAGCTTATGCAATAATTACTGACTGATCTAGTTCCAAAACATGGCAATGGCGTAGCTGGCAGAAAGCTATTGACTTTGCTAAATATATCCTTAGTACAAATCAGCCTGGATATTTACACTGAACATTATCCAGAGACCAAGTGAGGTCTGGAGGACAGCAGCATGACTAGTAAACCTCTGCTTGGGTAACATTGCTCAGGAAGTGACTTAAAGCTCAGTGGACTACCTCTGTATCTCAGATGAAGGAGTTACGTAATCTGCTAAAATATTAGATTCTACGCAAAGTCAGTCTATCCCTCATAGCAACAGTCTTGTTGAGAGGTTTTCTCAAATCATGAAAGTTACACACGCGGTATTTGTGGCCACAGACCACATGTACTGGGAACACTGGGAACAGCCTTCTGTCCTGCTGTATTGCTTTTGGTAAGGAAATTCCTGCAAAACTCAACTGATTCTTCCCATATGAGCTTTCACTTATATGGTCATTTGAAGGGATTCTGGAGGTGTTTAAAAGACTGAAGTTTAGAAGATTTAAGTGCCACCTAATAATTTTACATGCACTTCACTAAACTGGAAAAGAAAAAAAAAAAAGCCCAACAAAGGTGAATCATGGGGCCTGCATGAACAACCTATAGAATAGGGTTTTAATAGGTAACGGAAATGACTTGTCTGGCTGAAAGGACCTGAAGGCTACAAAATCTCTGGTGGTAGAAAAATCTTAAGGACAGTCTCTTACATGGCAGAATCAAAGACAGGACTCCACATCCAAAGCTGTTGCCAACCCACCTCAAGTACACAACAAGCCAAGGCTCTTCAGAACAACAGGAACAGGCGCTGCATTTCCTGCAGAAACTCACGTCACTGCCCCACACAACCCTCTGGCCGCACAACCCTCACAGCACATCACATCAAGATGTGGTATTCACATAAACCATTTCCAAGGATGCAGCTAAAGGAAAGGCTTTGTGTAATCACATTCCATGTTGGCTCTTGGAGTGGCTGAAAAGCTGCACTGTTGCAGTCTACACATGCAAGTAGTAAGGATGAAAGCCAAATACAGTGGGTCACTGCCTTCAGTAACCATTTAAACTTGAAACTGACACCATGCTGTGGATGATCAAGCTGCCAGTGGCGTGCTATATGGATCTCACTAAAAAAATAATAATAATAAAAAAAGTGAGAATTAACCCAATTATTTGCTAACGTATTTGACAATTCTTTGGTTTTCTGACTCTTCGTTTTGGGGAAAAACGGTTTGTCTGTCTTAGACTTGGAAGAATCCCTTATTGGGATTGCTGACTGGCTGCTCTGTTGACAGCCACAAAGCCAAAGACTTAATTCAGGCAGCGTATGGTCAGATCAGCTCCCAGAGGAGCGAAGTAATAAGCAAGTGGGCACACTTCTCCTTCCCTCTGTCCTTGAATAAACCTCAGTCAAAACAACTCCAGCAGTAAAACAAATTTAGGGAGAGAATCCTTTAAAATAACATCTTTTCAATTTAGTTCAGTGTTTCCTTTGCTGACAGCCAACCAAATTTATTTGCTATACTGTAGCCCTCTATTAATAACATTCACTTCAGTAGAAGGAGTGTCTTTTCAGTATAGCCATTGCAATTTAGGGAACAGTTTAATTTTTTTTAAATCTCCACTTGTACTGGATACAATATATACTATATATATATATATATATATACTATTTTTGAACCACAATAGTATAAGTAGCATGATAGTCACAGGCTTAAAAAGAATTTCTGTTAAAGAATAGGAACCTGTTTCTATTCACATGAAGATGCCATATAAGGGTGGAAAGCTGATTGCTCAACAGAACAGAATTTAATAAGCTGGCTATGGACTGTGCCAAATACATTAAAAACTAGGCTAATTGGTAGATTAGGGAACCCAGAATTACACACAGATTAGAATAATTGCCCAATCACCACATAAACAGAGATTTTATTCTGCTTTTCAGATTATTATCTCGTTCTTTTATAAAGAAACAATTGTCCCAGTGTTGGATCACAGCTCGGTTATGAGTAACCAAGGGTGTATTCTGGTCAACCCAGATAGTTACCTTTCACACCTGAAGGGAACATACTAAAAGGTTCAAATCTGAAAGGCTGTAAACTCATAAAATACTAAGGAAGAGACTTTGATATGTTCCTGGAGAAAATGTGCTACACATGTGACAACTTTTTTCCCATAAAATACATTTCAGCTGCAGGCCACCAATCTGTTTTGCACAAGAAGAATGGCAGCTTGGTTATTTTATTAATTATTAATAGCTAGATATGTGTAGAAGGAGATGTATCATTTCTGTACATACTGGATTTACCTGTTTTACTTTTAGTCCATACATATGATCGTGAGCTATATGCATAAAAGCGATTTCTGGAGAGCAAACTCCTAGGAAAAAAAAAAAAAAAAAAAAAGTACAGTGGCAAAATGCAGTAATAAAAGGCAGTTTTGTTGTCTTATGGTTCCATAAATCTCTACATGTATCAAAATCTCTAATATGCAATAGACTTGAATGGTTTCTCAGTTTATCTAACTAAATTTTTTAAGCTACAGCATAGGAGAGATGAATAAAACTGAGTAAAAATATGTACACTTCCAGATACAATGCTTTTCAAGATGACTACACAGGAGAACTCTGGAGAAATAAATAAATAAATAGAGAAACAAAAGGGAAACCCCCAGGGCTGGAGCCTTAGGCTACAAAACCACAACACTGACATGAAGAAAATACTCTTGAAATTAGTGTTTATGATATGCATCTAATCACCAAATTGCTACCGGACAAGCATGCACAAATATATGAATAATGAAATAATAACTCTAAGTATAACGCTAATATAAAGTACCACAGGGAAAATGCTAAAAATATTTTAAGGTGTCACATTGATAGAAACAGAAAAAGAAACCCCAACCCTCAGGTAAATACCCCCTCCTACCACAAACCGAAGAGCAAGTCAAAAGAACACACTTTAAGCCACCGTTTACCAACCAAGAACGTTTCCAAGTTCTTATTTCTGTGGATAGCCATACGTAAGGTCAAAAGGATAAGTTCAAATGCGTCTCTCCTCAGACAAAACTACTTAGCAACTTCAAAAGGCTTAGCATCAGGCGATGGCAGCAATAGGAAAAAATTTCACCGATTTCAATGGACTGTAGATAAAATGTACACTAACTCAGACTAGTTTGATTTAAAAAAAAAAAAAAATGTAGTTTTGAATCCAATCAGGTTTTCAAATTGGCAAAAAAAAATGAACGAAAAGATTCCTGAAGAATATCTTATGTCACTTAAGAGTAGGCAGTCTGTATATTGCCAGAGTAAAACATTAAGGAAAATAAATGAATTGTGTTAAAAAGCCAAGGACATTACAGTAGAATTGTTATGTAAATACCAGATACTTGTTCATGTAACCTCTTTCAACAGAGTTCTTGAAGGAGATTTTACGGTTTTAATTGAATGTGCACACATTTACATTTAACATAGTTAATAATGCACTTAGTATAATGCACTTAAGTATTTGAAGAGAATGGATCTATTTAACAAATGTAAAACTTTTTCCAATAGTATATGCTACTGTAGTTTCACGTGAGTTTATGGGGATGTATACATGTATATTCCATTCATTTCCTTCTGTTCAAATACAAAGCACATAAATGTACCTAAATGTAAAGGATATTCTTCATGCACTTCCTAAGCAAAGCATTCTCACTTATAGCACGTAGAAAGAATGGTGAAATTAAGAGCAAAACGATTTTTCAACATGTGATTTACTTAATTATTTTGGTAAACTACCAGTTAAAAACATGGATTTAGTTAGCGATAACTTGTGTTTCAAAAGAATGCAACATTTAAATTTCAGCATTATGGACTCTGGCAACATCCACAGAAGGAGTTCACTGAAAAAACTCAGACTGAGAAAAGAATCTGTCCTACCTTCATTCTTTTTCATTTCTGCTGTTAAATCCATGTCCTTATCAAAAACAAATAACCTTTATGAAGAGAAGAGAAGAGAAGAGAAGAGAAGAGAAGAGAAGAGAAGAGAAGAGAAGAGAAGAGAAGAGAAGAGAAGAGAAGAGAAGAGAAGAGAAGAGAAGAGAAGAGAAGAGAAGAGAAGAGAAGAGAAGAGAAGAGAAGAGAAGAGAAGAGAAGAGAAGAGAAGAGATCAAACATTTGGACAACCTTCTTTCCATCCCCATAAGCTCAATGAGCAGTTTAGGCAAACCTTATTAGCTTACTTTGTGAGGATGTTGCAAACCTAGATGAGTACCATCTAACAAAAATACCAGTTGTGAAGCACTCCCAAACCACGATGCTATATACGCATTATACTGTTGCTCTGCATTTTAAGCCTTAGGTAGGGAACTGCATCACTTCCACGTATTACCAGCCAATATTGAGATTCAAAATAAGTACAAATAAAAAGCGCAGATGCTTGGCAGTTTCAGCTCTTTGCAACACTTTAAAGAATACAGAAAAAAATAATAATGTAAGAACGGCATTAAAACTGCAGAGCACCAACGCGAGCAACAATCTTATTTGATGGCGCTTCATTTTTATTTTCTCTGAAGCAGGATGCTGGGAATGCTTTCACCTCACTGACTAAAAAGCTAAAACCACACATTCGTGAAAACCCGTGGAGGTGTTTGTTTGTGTGAGAGATGTTTTAGACGCTTTGCCCTATGGGACGTCGGCCGGGGTTTGGGCGCTGCTCGCCTCAGGGCGGCGCGGGCTCCCCCAGCCCCCCTGCGCCACGCCCGCCTGAACCTCCTCCTGCGGAACTCCTCGTCCTCCACATCGCTCTCCGTCACCGAGCCCTCCACCACCGTCTCGTCGCTGTCGCTGCTCCACATCAGCTCCCCCATGGCGCCGCCGCCTCCCCGCTCCCCTCCTCTCTCTCTCCGTCTCCTCCGGGCTCCCCGCGATCGCGCCCCGCCCCGCTCCCCCCCCCCCAGCGGTCTCCTCAGGGGTGGCGGCCATCTTGTGGGGAGAGGGGCCGGGCATTCGAGATGCGGAATTATTAGTAAAGATAGCGAAATGTTGTGGGTTTTGCAGTATTTGCGGCTGGTAACCCTGGTGATCACCTTTAAAATGGGAGCGTTTTCGTCACGCAGGCCTGCGCTGCCTCAGCCTTGCCTTCCATGGCCACAGCAGCTGGGCCAGCGCTATTGCCATGGTCACGGACAGGGTCAAGCTGGTCTGTGGGCCAGGGAGAGCTGCAGATACAAAAATCAAAATCGAAATAAAAAATATACGGCAGGAAACCTTATTCCATATATATATATATACAAACCCTATAAATTCCAAATCATAGTTCTGACTCATGCCCACAGTGAGCTTGATGATAAAATTAAGCATTCAGATTAATTTCTAAATTAGATTCCATCACAGACTATTCAAATAAGCAAAAACAAAACCACAAAAAAAAAAATGCTGCAGAAAAAGCATAGAAAACAGAGAAAGATAATAAAGGCTATCTTGAATTACATAACGATTATACATAATTGCTGCAAGTGTGTACAAATTGCTGTTTTGGTTTGACTTAGTCATATCCACATGCAATTATAGCAATTGCAGTTGCACATTACCAAATTACTCCAGAAAGCTTGGTGGTAATGTTTTACTTTTCTGTGAATAAAGGTGAGATGCTCAAGAAAATGCACATTAAGAAAGAAGTGAGCTGGGGACAGGGATATGCAGCAGCAAGTTGTCCTGATCTCTGCGTATCATGTTGAGAACTCAAAGCGTAGTATGTGTTAAAAGACTGAGCTGGCATGAATAATTTCCCCACTCATAACAGCTGCTTTGGGTGGAGTTTTCAGGAAACCTTTCATCAGCGTATCTTTTATATATATATATTTTTAATTTCAGAATTACGTCAATGCTTTGCCGCACAGTAACTGACATATGGTGTGCCTCGAAATATTTCTAAATGGCGCATGCAAGAAGCAGGATTTGGAAAGCCCTACGTGTAAATTGTCCGTAGGAAAATCATTGCAGGTTGAGTTTCGTTTGGAACACGTCAGCCTGGCATTGCTCAGACCTGGCCACACAGGGCGGCCCTGTGAGTGAGAGGGGTGATGCACTGACATGCAGGTGTGGGGAGCTGGGGGTCTGCCTCTTCTCAGAGGTAATTGGTGATAGGATTGGAGGGAATGACCTCAGTTGTGCCAGGGGAGGTTCAGGTTGGAAATTTGGAGACATTTCAGAAAGAGCAGTCAGGCACTGGGACGGGTTGCCCAGAGAGGCGGTGGAGTCACCATCCCTGGGGGTGTTTAGGGACAGGCTGGACGTGGTGCTTGGGGACACGGTGTAGTGGGTGGCGGGGGATAGCTGAGCCCAGGAGAGCCTCTCCCCTCCGGCAGGAGCCATTCCGGGCGCCACAGCCGCCCCCCGCAGCCTCCCTTATCGCGCCGGGGCGGGGCGGGGCCGGGCCGCGTCCCTCCCCTCAGCGCGCCGCGCGGGGGCGGGGCGACCCCGTCGCTCGATCGCCGTATGTAAATAAGCCGCCTCCCGCCGCCCAATCGGCAGGCGCGGCGAGGGCAGCGCGGCGCCCCATTGGCCGGGCGGCCCCGTGGCGAGATGGCGTGTTCGCCGCTGCTGATCGAGCGCCGGGCCGTTGCCCCGGCAACGCGGCGGGTGACGCGGCGCGGGCCGGGCGTGGCGGCCACTCGCCATTGGCTGCGCGATCGGGCGATGGCGGCGGCCGCGGCGCCGTGCCCCGGGTGTCCTTGCGCGGGGCGGGGCGGCCGCCTCAGTGCGCGGCGCGGCGCGGCGAGGCCGGGCACGGAGCGGGCCCGGGCGGCCCGGAGCGGTGAGGGACGGGCGGTGGAGGGGGTGGGGGGGGTGAAGCGGCCTCCCGAGGGGCCCGGCTCGGTGGGGGTGCCGCGGGGGCAGCGGGAGGTGGCTTCGCGCTCAGCGGGACGGGAATCCCTGCTCTGCGCCCAAACGTGAGGAGACTTTGATGGAATAAATACCTGGGATGGCGTTTGCCTAGGCCTAACGGTAGTTCTTTACTTGGTTTTATAAATGCCGGCAGTTAGCAGCGCTAGGAGTCGTATTTATAATTTTAAGCCTCGCGATGTCTCCATATCCTCGTTTGATAACTGCTGATCTTTGGTTCTCCTCAAACAGCGTGATATCCAACAGCACCAGTGTTTTTCCAGCGTATTACCAGGCCTTTTGTATTTCCGTTTGTGTTTCAAAATCTTTGGGAGTAAGATATTACCCTGGCCATGTCTTTATCTTTCTGGTTAAATGCTACTGTCAGTGCTGCTGAGGAAAAAAAACATAATGCTGCTGTGAAACAGTTCTGGAAGAACATAAATTCATAGAAGACTATGTAGACAAATTCATAAAATGCTAAGCAGCTTATATTAGAGGGGGAAAAAAAGGCGTAATGTTGACCTTTAAAATAATTTTGGGGGAAAAAAGGCAAGCAGGCTTTCTTCATTTGAGGGGTTTTCTTTTTTCTTCCTTCCTTTCAAAGGAAATGGAAAAAATTGTTCATGTGGAAGGCAGTACTCTTAATGATGTTACTCAGTAGGCTCCATCAGACACAAAAGTCCTGACACCTTCGCTGTGGGAGGATAAAGAAAAATATATTGGTACTATTGATGCTTAGTAGGCGCTGGTAGGAAGGCAGTCTGACAACCAGCATGACTCTGGCATCTCGAGTAACACTGAGCAGATAGATTTCCTCCATTTATTATTTTCTACAACAAATGTCAGCTGCGTTTGTGGTGTCAGAGCACAAGAAATAAATAGCAAGGCTGTCTTCCTGAAAGCCTGGTGGTTGTATTGTTAATTTCAAGGTAACGTGAGTGGATTTCTATCCACTTCAGTGTGATGGTGTGTAGAGCCCTCGATCTGCTATGGAAACCTCCACAGTGCTGGGTTGGTACTGACATTATATATAGTTCTGTATTTGGAAGTAAAAGACAGACTGCTATCTAAGTGTCTTTTGAACCTTAGTATGTAGCTATATAGTTAACATTCAGCGTAAGAGTTTTAGAAGTTGTTGATTATGTGCAATGGGAAAAGCAAAGTTCCGGTACTAACGTATATAAGAGACAATTTTATGGCATTTTGTTTCTGCACTATAAAACGTAAATAAATATCCTCGATGAACTTGAAGTCTAAAGGTACAACACAGAGCAAATGGACTAGGATGCAGATTTTATAAGAGAAAGAGCATCCGTGTTCTCAGTTACGTGGAAAGGTGTGAACATTTTTCCTGAATGTTTGTAATCCATTTAAAGCAAAGGGGATGATGAAATGCATCAGTAACCTGGGAATTAGTTACGGTACAGAGAACTGTTGCAGAATACTGTATTTGAGAAGGATTAGTGTGTTTGAGGTGAAGAAAGAAATGCTTTGAATGTAGTTAACTTGAATCAGCGAAGAATATTTATCAGCGAGTAGAGAAGACACAATCGAAGGAAGGTAACATTGAGATTCCTACTGCTGAAGTTGAGAATTGCCAGCAATGGTTTGTTGGTAACTTATTTAGTCAAAGTTAGTATCTTTTGATAGAAAGAAGCAACAGAATTTAGCGAGTGCTTACGTACACTGGTGGTAAAAACAAGAAGTTGGAGTCAAAATGGTGTTGAAATTGCATGACAGCAGGAGGTACTAAAAAATGCGAACATTAACTGAGAGTGGAGGAGAATTGTAAGCAAGGCACTTCAAAGAGATAAGGGAGATGTGTTTTGTTTGTTTGTTTTAAGAAAAAAGTGGATTGAGAAGGGAGGAGCAGATCATACTAAATTTCAAAATACTAGAAATAAATATGTTTTTTAACAGAAATTTGAAGATGAGTTTCCTTACTCATCTGTTACATAGCTGGCTTTGAGACATCCTGAGAGATGACTTGCAAGAATTTATACAGCTCTGTCCTTTTCCCCTGAAACTCGAATTTGCTTATGTGAAATATTTTTTTGTCGTTGTTGCAGGTTTGCTAACGATAGAAAAACAGTCCTGAAAATGTTGTCCAGACTCTTTCGAATGCATGGCCTTTTTGTGGCTTCTCATCCATGGGAAGTCATTGTGGGAACGGTGACTCTCACCATCTGTATGATGTCGATGAAGATGTTCACTGGGAACGATAAGATCTGTGGCTGGAATTATGAATGCCCAAAACTTGAAGAAGTAAGGATTTAAATTCATGTTATAGTACTTATTGTTAATCAGGTAATTGATGGGATCCAGTAGAGTAAGATTAGGTTGTGATGTATTAGAAGGAGAATAACTGTGGCAAAACCTCTTTATTGCCTTCTTTCCCATACTAGATTTTTAAAGCTGTATGCAAGCAGTGGTGTGCTGCAGAAGGTTTTCTTTAAACCTAGAGCATCTCTCCTATGGGAAAAGGCTGAGAGAGCTGGGACTGTTGAGCCTGGTGAAGAGGAGGCTTGGGGCATCTTAGCTGTGTCTGTAAATCCCTGGAGGGAGGGTGAAAGAGGACGAAGCCGGGCTCTTCTCAGCAGTGCCCAGGGCCAAGACAAGAGGCAGTGGGTACAGAATGGAACATAGGAGGTTACCCCTGTACACCAGGCAGCACTTCTGTACTGTGTATGTGATGGAGCGCGGGCACAGGCTGCCTAGAGATGTGGTGTTTCCGTCCTTGGAGGTCTTCATCCACCTGCCTGAGCATGGTCCTTGGCATCCTGCTCTGGGTGTCCCTGCTTGGGCAGGGAGCTTGGCCAGAAGGCCCTGCCAGTCTCAGCCATTCTGTGATTAAACCTAATATTTTTCTGTGAACAAGGATGTGACATTAATATTTTGCAATATTTTATTTTTACGGCAGGCTAGCAGTGATTGTTGTTTCATTCAAGGGAAAAAAAACAAACACCTTCATCATAAGTGCTGCTTCACAGGGGATTTTTATTATTGTTATTAGTGAAACCTAACAAGCTACTGATAAATGTAAACGCTAACTAAATCCCTTTTGTGTTTCATGCAGGATGTGCTGAGCAGTGACATCATAATACTGACAATCACACGCTGTATAGCAATCCTTTATATATATTTCCAATTTCAGAACCTAAGGCAACTTGGATCAAAATACATTTTAGGTACTCTATCTGATTTTCTATTTGGTGTATGCATTTTAATTGTTTGCTTTTTGTACTATAAATCAGTAAGGAA